GATCTTGGGCAGCTGCTACCAAGGAAAAGAAATGGAGGGAGAGGGGATTGTCAGCAAACAGAAATAATACTGGCTGCAGTGTTCTCGCTTGTGATACTACAGTTAGCCAACAGCAGACACGGCAGTGGTTGCTAGCTACTCATGGAATTTCTTACTAGTTTTGAGTAGCTTGTACATGTCGTGTCCCTTAGCAGCTGGTTTCTTTTCATTCATTTATTTTCAGGGTGGGTTTTTTTGTTTTTCTTTTCTTTTTTATTTAGACAGGATCTGGCAGTGCAGCCTGAGTTATTCAGGAATTCACTATATAACCCAGTCTGTGCTCAAACCCACAGTCTGCTGTCTTAACCCTCTGAGTGCTGGAATTGCTGATGTGTGACACCATGCCCTGGCCACTGCCTTTTAGAATTTTTATTTTTTAGATTTTTGCATTTTTATGTGAATGAGTGTTTTGCATGCCTGAATGTCTGTGCACCACGTGAGTGCAAAGTTCAGAAGGAGTCAGATCCCCTAGGATTGGTGATTGTGAGCCACCATGTGGATGCTGGAAACCAAACCCAGGACCTCTGCAATAGCAACAAGTGCTCTTAACTGCTGAACTATCTCTCCAGGTCCTCCATTGCCTTTTAAGTAGTCTAGTGATATATCTGAGTAGGAATAGCACCTGCTGCAAAATAGTATCTCCTAAACATGGCAGGGATGCTGCCCAATGAAATCTCAGCAGTAGAGTTACCTATACAGGATTTGCATGGTGACCACACCAGTCAACATGCCAGTGTGGTTAGGGGAAATTTACTAAGGTCCTGCCCCCACTAGGTAGAAGAGCTCCAGTCAATCATTGGCTACTGAGGTAGGGATCTCTTTTCTCCAGGGACAGGCCCCTTGCTGTGTTATCCAATCCCAAGTAGTCAGCCCTAAACATACATTCATACAAGCAACACTAAATGGACTTAGGATTTATACACACATGCATGCACACACATATATCCCCTAGCCGTTCCACAAGAATAGTAGAGAGCTGGGCCAGGATACCAGTCTTAATATGACAGCTGGTTCTTTGGTATTCAACGCTCGTAGCAATGTGGCTGTCATAGTCCTCTGTAGTGGGAAGCCACTTGCTCGTTCCCGGCCACGCAGACTCGCAATAACCACATAGACACTGCATTAATTAAATCACTGCTCAGCCTATTAGCTCTAGCTTCTTATTGGCTAGCTCTTCTATCTTAATTTAACCCAATTCTATTGATCGGTGTATCGCCATGTGGCTGTGGCCTACTGGCAAGGTCCCAGCACATCTGTTCCAGGCTGAGACTACATGGCATCTCCTGACTCCACCTACTCTCTCTGTGTATCTTTTCCAGCCTGGCTATATTCTGTTAAGCCATTGGCTGAAAGCAGCTTCTTTATTCATTAACCAATAAAAGCAGCACATACACAGAAGGACTTCCCACACCAGTCCTCGACAAGCATGGTCCAGCACACTCATCGTGAACTGTCATCTTCAGAACCTTATCCTGGGGACTAGAGAGGTGGTTTCACAGTTAAGAGCACTGGCTGCTCTACCAGAGGACCTAGGTTCAATTCCCAGCACCCACATGGTGACTTAGAACTGCCTGTAACTTCAGTTCGGAGGGAGTCTGATACTCTCTTCTGGGCTTCATAGGTACTACATGAATGCCATACACAGACATACATGCAAGCAAAGCACCTATACACATATATTGAAAACAAACAAACTATACTGACCAGGTTTGCATTGAACTCACCTATTCTCTTCCCTTTCTGCCTCCTAAGTTCTGGAATTAAAGGCACTTGTTACCATCCTGGGCCTGAAAATCCAAGTCTTAACGATAACTTTCATATATTGGTACTGCTTACTGTGATAAGAAAATTTCTATTTTATATGGACCATGTAGTCCCTATTAATCACTTTCTGACTCATCTGCATCCAGCAGTTATTGTACTGGAGCCTTTCTTTTTGTATTAAAGATATGTTTAGAGTGGATTTTCGTGCTTCTGAGCTGATTAATGCATTTTCTTCACAATGGTGGGAAGCATTCACATCGTTCCCACTGCTTCCAGACAGGACAAGACTGTTGAACTTTCTAAGAACCCAGTCTGTGATGTGCACAGCTGCCAGAACACTTAGATGAGAACATGTAAACATGCATGTCACCAGCTGTTAGACAGCATTTCTGTTTGGGCGATAAGGAGTCTCTCTGAGTCACACAAGCCCAGAGGGACTGGAAATGTAAACTTCAAAGTTAGCTCCTTCCTGTGTTGTCATTCCTGGCTAGAGTTGTGTTTTCTCTACGTGTGAAACTAAGTCATAATTCCCCAAGGGAAAGTGATAGAAATAATGAATTGAATTAATGCAGGCAAAGCATGTCCTGTTGGTGAGGGTCTGCCAGGAACTGAGACTTAAAATCAGTCCGGTTCTGCACAAAATTATGATTAAGCTAATTCTGGCTGGAGACCTGTCTCTTCACTCGTCCCTGGACCCAAAGGAAGCGCCAAACTCAAGTCCCCGTCCTTTCCTTCCTGTGTGTTTTCCCTATCCAAATTGCTGGCTTCTCTGTGTCTAATTCCTTCAGCTAGTTTTGGGTTCAACCCCCTGATTCAAGGTAAACTTCACTCAACAGTCTCGAATATCACAATATGATCAAATATCCCGAAACAGAATCTAGTATCAAATTCCTTCTGTGTTTGTTTGTTATTTGCCATTTAGAGAATTTCTTTGTGTGCTCAGAAGCTATCTGGTGACAAGTCAGTATCCATAGGTTCTTGTCACAGTAATTCTGAACTTGGCAGCTGTTAGACTGTGTGTGCGTGTGTGAATTTTTGATACAGGGTTTCTCTGTGTTGCCCTAGCTGTCCTGGAACTCATCCTGTAGACTAGACTGGCCTTGAACTCACAGAGATCTGCCTGCCTCTGCTTCCTGAGTGCTGGGGTTAAAGTGTGCACCACCACGCTGGTGTCAACCTTTTTTTTTTTCAACTTTTTTTTAATAGACTGCTTTTTCATTCTTTATGACATTAGTATTTCTACTTAAAACCAAAAACTAAACAAGCAAAACTACTGCAAACTGTTGAAACAAACATTTTTATACTTAAACAGTGGGTATGTATGCATTTTAGTAGCTATTTATTTATGTATTTGGAGAGAGACATAGGTTCTCCCTGTGTAGCCAAAGCTGGCCTCAGACTCAAAAATTTTCTGCTCCTGCTTCTGCCTTTCAAGTTCTGATACCAGATATGAACCTCCACAACCAGCAAACAATAACTTGTTAACATTACACCATTGAGTTAATTTGGTTATCTGATTTTTCCTATTTAAATATATATACAGAGAAGTATACCTAGCATATCAATAAAAGATCACACCTCATAATACTACAAAATTAAGACAGTATATTCCTTAGGATCTGTCTCCCCTGATACACACTGTCATGATTATGTGTTGAGATTCATCTATGTCGTTAGTGGTATAACCATTTATATTATTTCCACTGTAGAGTATACAATATATGCATTGCTTTTAATAATTTATTATTATTTAGTGACCCTCAGGATTAAAACTAGGATATCATACACACTAGGATATTACAATACCAATGAGCCACACCCATTTTTAGACAGGACGTCACTGTGTATCCCTGGCCAGCTTGTATCTTGCTATATAGACCAAGCTGACCTCAAACTCAGAGAGCCACCTGCCTCTGCTTCCCAAATGCTGGGATTAAAAGAATATGCCATCACATTCTACCTATTTGGAATTCTTTTGAGACTGGGTGTCAAGTAGCCTGTGCTGGTCTTGAACTCACTGTGTAGCTGAGGTTGGCCTTAAACTTGAGATGCTCCTGCCTCTACCTCCCCACTGCTTGGATTATCGATGCACATCCCTGTGCCTGTTTTACTTATCCATTCTGAGTGTGCTGTTCCTCAGGACTGCTTTTGTCACACTGTAACTGGAAGTTAGGGTTTGTTATAGTGTATGCCCTTATGTAAAACTTTATTGTCCTAATCATAACTACTTAATTAGTTTAGCACAAATTTGTGGGGGGGGTGTTCGTGTATTCATACACCCTGGATTAGTTACTTTTCAATTGCTCTAACAAAACACCGGTACATAAGAGAAAGCAATTAATTGGGCTTAAGGTTTCAGAGGGCTAGAGTCCATCATGAAAGTGGGCATGGCAGCAGCAGCAGGCCTGCTGGCACCGGAGCGCAGCCGAGAGCTCATTTCCCAGTCCACAAACAGGAAGCAGAGACAGCACAGTGGAAATGGTGTAAATTTTTTGAAATCTTAAAGCCTGTTCTAGTGACACATCCTCCAACAAGGCCACTCCTTCTAACCCTTCCGAAACAGTTCCGCAGGCTGGGTGGGGGGCGGGGAACCAAGTATTCAAACTTCAGCGCGTGGGACCGGGATGTAGCCCAAAGCCCTGGATTCCATCCCAGGACTGTGTAACCAGGCACAGTGATTCAGGCCTGAACCCCAGCACTGCCACAGTGAAGACGGGCAGGAAGAGTGGGGGCTCAAGGTGATTCTTGGCTAAATAATGCATTTAAGGCCACTCTGGGATGGCCTAGTCTCAGAAGAAGAGATCGCTGAGCTTTAAGTAGATGTTACTCTAAGAATCATCTAGTATTTCTTAAATAGGCTTTTTTGGGCAAACTGAGGAAACTGCTGTTGGCTCAAATCCAGGACTGTAACTGGAGAACTGACGGGTAACCAGGAGGAGCGCACTCCTAACCCAGCTCTTGCACTTGATTGTGGTTCCTACCCGACATGGCCTGCCCCTTCCCAGTCAGCCAGCCCAGGAGCACTGGGGCAGCTGCTGCCACGGACTCAAGTGAGTTAGGTCTCACTGAGTTCTGTTTCCCTCGCTGGCCCTGACCTGGCAGGTCGCTCTCTCATGCGTGAAGCAGCAGCCCGGTGGCTGTGATGTGCACCAGGAGGCTCCCGTTTCCTTAACTCACTCCTGCTCTGTTCTTTCCAGGTCTATAAAGGAGAATTTCAGCTACCTGACTTTCTGAAAGAAAAGCCCCAGGTACCGTATGTACACCACTTCCCCTTCCTCTTCTTTTCTGTAAGAGCTGGCTCTTCCACAAAGTAAGCTTTGGAAAAGACAATGAAGTATAAAAAATGAAAACAAGAAATAAAATCCAGGTGTGCTGCTTTGTACCCGTAATGCCAGCCATCAGCTGAGAGGAGAGGATCAGCTCAAATCCAAGGCCGCCTGGGCTACATAGTGCAGTTCCAGGCCAGCTCCCTTCTCAATGTGCCAACAAGCAGATAAGTAAGGGAAGTAGGAAAGACAGTGACCTGTGCTGGCAGTAGCGAGCTGCTGTGATTTGAGAGAGTTTAGGGTCTTCCGCAGCTAGGGAAGTGCACACTCAGCCACACGGATTTCACATGGGAATGGGGAGAATGCCTGAGCATCTACTTTGCATATAATAATAATAATAATAATAATAATAATTACTTTTGATATTTTTATTATATTCATGTTTGAGGTGTTTTAGCTGTTCTCACTTTGGAAACTGAAAGACCTATAATGCGTAATGCACACAGCAGTTGGCTGTCAGCAAATGTGACAGTTCAAAGCCTGTAATCCTTGTTTTTAAAAATAAATGAAACCAGCCAGGCAGTGGTGGCACACACCTTTAATCCCAGCACTCAGAAGGCAGAGGCAGGCAGATCTCTGTGAGTTCGAGGCCAGCCTGGTATACACAGTAAGTTCCAGATCATTCAGGCTACATAGTAGGACCCTATCTTAAAAACAACAACAAGGCCTCCTTGTGCTTACCACAGGCTGTGTTCTTACACTGGCTGTATAGAAAGAGGAGGCATAATAAAGCCACCCCATGTACACCTCAGCTCAGGCCACTGTGCCTGGTCTGTATTGTGAATGGGGAGACATGGAAAAACAACAACAACAACAAAAAGAAACCAATCTATAATTACAACTGTAATGTTTCAACTCACTTGCATTCCATTTTTGTGTCCAGAGTTGGAGTAAACCCGAGATTATCATGGTGTGCCTGGAGTAGCACAGCGTGTCCTGTGGTCCCCTGTCAGCTGTGTAACAGCTGGGAGAAGAGACATCACTGCCTGTCATTAGCCTTGATGTTCCACATGGGCTGAGGCTTCCTAGCTCTAGGGTGCTGCTATCCATACTGAACTCAGTTTCTGAAAGTGTTTGAGTTAGGATGGCAGGGGAAACACTGCCTTATGTGTCGCATACAGCAAGCCTGGAGTAAGCAGGCCTCCTCTGGAACTCAGTGACGCTGTCTCTCACCAGGAGTGAAGGCCGTGCCCAACCTGACCGCTGTCAGTTACCAGCCGTCCGGAATGATGTGTGGTACCAGAGGGTCTCAGAGTGCATGCAGGACATATTCTTAGCAGTGTCTGTTTAACTCTTTCCCATTCTTTCATGTATTCAACAGTTGTTGCTAGGGATTTGCTAGGAGTGAGAAATTAGGATATGTCCACAGGAGTTGGGAGAAACAGAGTCTTCTTAAGGAACTCAAGGACCTGATGTTTGTATAGAGGGAGAGCAGGGCCAGGCCCAAAGTGTGCATGACATCCCAGAGCCCTGGGTGGATTCCCGAAGACACCATTACTCACAGCCTTGGAAATTGCCAGAAAGCAATCTAAGAGGCAGGATAAACTTGAAGAAACCAAGAAAGGGGATTTGAGACCGAAACTGACGACTTCCCCGTGCTTCAGCACACACCCAGTAGCTCCAGATGGAGAGGGGGTGGGTAGAATCATGCAAGAGAAAGTCCCCGAACTTAGAGGGGAAGCCATCTTCAGTCATAGAGACATGGTCGTGAGTTTAAAGATTGATAGAGTCCAGGACAGTGGTGCACACACCTTTAATCCCAGCACTCGGGAGGCAGAGACTGGTGGATCTCTGAGTTTGAGGTCAGCCTGGTCTACAGAGTGAGTTCCAGGACAGCTAGGGATACTCTAGAAACTCTGTCTCCAGTGGGGAGGGGGAAATGATAAATTACACACCAGAGTTGAGAATATTTGCTTATTAAAACTTGCCGTAGCTGGATATAGTAGCACTAGGAAGATGGAGGCAGGAGGATAATATGCTCAAGGCCAGCCTGGGCTATAGAGCCAGACCCTATCCTAAACAAGCAGAAACAACAAATAACGCTAGAGTTGGTGCAGTGGCTCAGAGGGTAAAAGCATTGCCCCCCAGCCTGTCAGCCCGAGTTTGATCCCACATAAAGGGGGAAGGATGAACTGACTCCTGCCGTCCACATACATCCTGTGGTACGCACTTCCCCACAGAGCATTCACGCAAACACCCATCTACACAAAGCTAAATAAGCAAACGAGGAATTTTTAAAAATGAATGCCAGAGTTGGGTATGGTGATACACCCTTGAACTCAGCACTTGGGGGACAGAGGCAGGTGGATTTCTATGAGTTCAAGGCTGGCCTGGTCTATATACAGAGTTCTAGGCCGGCCAGTGGTACATAGTAAACCCTGTCTCAATATAGTAATCTGATATTAAACTTTTAATTATTATTCTTAAGTGTATGCTTGTTTTTCCTGTATGCATATCTGTGTACCTCATGCATGCCCGGTGCCCACAGAGGTCAGAAGAGGGTGTCATAGCCCCTGGAACTGGAGTTAACAAACCTTTGTGAGCCCGCATGTGCGTGTTATGAGTCAAACCCTAGTTCTCTGGAAGAGCAACAAATGCCCTTAACCACTGAGACGTCTCTCCAACCCAATAATAACATTGGTTTTTGTCTATTGAGACAAAGTCATTTTATTATGAAATGCTTGCTGTCCTGAACTCACTATGTAGACCATACTGACTTCGAACTCACAGAGATATGACTGTCCCTGCCTCCCAAGTGCTGGGATTAAAGGTGTGTGCCACAATGCCCAACTCCAAAAATAAAATATCTAAGAACTATAAATAAATGGTAGAAAACAAGCCTTCAGTGGGACAACAGTAATTTGTAGAATATAGAGAAGTCTTATAAGTCTTATAAGACAATAAGAAAAAGCTTTAAAATGCCTTGATACACACCTCAGGCTACTCACTGTTGCCCGCACTCATGCTGGGGGATCTGACACTCTCTTCTGGCCCCTTGGGGCATCACACTCACATGTATGTACTCTTACACAGGCAGAAAGACACACACATAGACATACACACATGTTAAAAAATAGAAATCTTGAAAAAGTGTGCTATAGCAATGGCTCAGCAGTTAAGAAGAACGGCTGCCCTCCCAGAGGACCCAGGTTCAGTTCCCAGCCTCCATGTGGCTTTAAGTCTAGGTCCAGGGGATCTGATGCCTTCTTCTAGTTTCTTTAGGAACCAGGCATGCACACGATGCATAGACATACATGTAGGCAAAATACCCATATACATTAAATAAATAAGTAAAAATTTAAAAGAAAGATTATGGTTTAATTAAGAAATGGGTCCAAGTGTGGGCACATGCTTGTAGTACATGCTTGTAGTACATGCTTGTGAACTGGAGGCAGAAGCATCAAATTCCAGGCCATCTTCAGCTACACAGAGTGTTCAAGGCCCTGTGGGTTACACGAAACCCTGTCACAAAACAAGAAACAGAAACTTGATAAGCTTGGCAGCACATGCTGGTAATCCCAGAGTGAGGAGGCAGAGGCGGGAGACCACTGCAAGTTCAGCCAGCCTGCTCCACATAGTGGAGTTAAAGGTCAGTCAGAAGTGAGGAGGTACAGGGGCTGGGTCTTGGAGGGCCCTGGAGACACTGTGTGTCCTGTCCCTGTGGAGTCAGAGCCCACACTCCCTGTGCTCATTCCTATGCGAATAACCAAAAGCTCCAGCATTTGACTTGAGGCCAGGCTGACTGGAAGGTTCTGAAAGTGAGCCCACCCTGTCATCTTGTGTCCCCACACAGACTTATATGGGATTTGTGAGGAACAAAGGCATCCTTGTTACTCGGGCGATGCCAAGGATTTAGTCTGTCCCTGGAGTGTGGGAAAGGCCAGTCCAGTTTCTTTCCTTAGAACAGTTGCAGGCTGAGTTTATCTAAAACTCTGAGCAGATGCTGTTAATGGGTCTGGGGTCGCTCAGAGGGTCGTTCACCATGACCATGAATATATTTTAGTAAGGATAGGCTTTTTATTTAGGTGCTGGCCTCCCAAAGGACTGCACCGGAGAGCTCTCCCAAGGTGCAGTCCCCAGCCATATCAGCCCAGGATGTATAAAGGCAAACCCGTAAAATGGTGTATGTATTCTGTCTGTGTGAAGGCAGGTTCTTACTGTAACATATATGTCTTGCAGTTGTCCTAGTGATCTTTTTTTTTTTTTGTCCTAGTGATCTTTTTGAGCAGAGTAAGCAAGCTTAATTACAAAAGCAGAAATAGCAGTCAGTGTAATGACCTACTATTTTGCTAGAACAGCAGATTTGACAAGACCAGTCAATTTTAAGAATAGTCTTTAGTGTCTTGGGAAGGGGGAGTGGGCCGCTGGAGCACAGCTTCACAGGCCACGGCCTGCATGCTAGAGGCTTTCTTTTCTCCAGTCTCTCAAGCATGGTAAGTTTAAACCTTAAATGTAATGTTAGCCGTCAGTCCTCTGAGGCATGGCTGCTGTGCTGGTGAGAGCAGTCGTACCTCTTCCAGCTGAGTGCAGGACTTTAACGTATCTATGGTTCCTTCCACAGACCGAGCGATTGGAGTAGCTGAGCCTGGAACTTCCCACAGTGAGGTGAGGCCCGCCGGGTGCTGCTGGGTGGGAGTCTCCACTTGGGCCGACAGAGACAGCTGTGTGTCCGGATAGTGAGCATAGCTCTGGCCTCGGGCAGCCTGGGTTGGCAGTGGCTCTGTCACCTCCTGGCACCAAGCAGCTTAACTCCGTGTCTGTTCCCTTAGCTGTGAAATGAAAGCGTGGAGTAAGTGTGGAGATGGCGTTTGGAAGGGGTCTTTAGCGTTAGGAGGGACCGAGAGACTGAGAGCCTAGGGCTGATGAGAAGAGTGATCCCGGAGAGCCCATTCATCTCCTAAGGTCACGTTGGACATTAGTGGTAGCTGCGGACTCAGGGGACTGTCGCCACCATTAGAAAACGTCTGTAGCAGCCCTGTGTTCGCTTGCTTTGTACCTTGAGGTTATTTGCAGGCACTGGAAACAGCACAGATGGCAAAGTGTGTCCTCCATGCCCCTCAGAGGCTTGGTTGTCCGTCCTCCTGCCCCTGAACTGTAGGAGCCCACGGAGCCCACCTAGCCACTGGTGCAAACAGGGAAGCAGGCGGGGATGAAACGGGAAGGGCAGCTTTGATCTGTGTCCGTGACCACATGCTGTGTGTTTGCCCTAGGGATGACTGCTGCCTTTTCTACAGAAGGGAAATCTCTGGAACTGCTGTCTCCTGCAGGGAGAGATGCTGTGACCCAATCCATGGCTTCTGCTCACCTGCCAGCCTCCTGTCCCTAGGGAGGTGCCACAGCCGGCCTCCCTGAGTGATGGCTCTCGAGCCCAGTGACTCGCACAGCCCTCAAGATGAGGAGCCCAGCAGGGACACGGTTCTGTTACAGCTCCTCTTGTCCTTGTCGTTCTTATCAGATTCCAGTCTTAATTTCAAGAGAAGGAGAGTTTAAGGAAGGCATTTGGTTAACAAAATTGGCAGTCTCGTTCAGAATCGGTTGTCTGTACACGTTCCAGTGTTTTGTAGAACACTTGTGCCTGTTTAAATACATTGATGTGGATAATAGTAAATACCTTAATTATTTCAATGATTGATTGTATTGTTTCAGAGAGTTGGGAATAGCTGTATACATTTACAGCCTAATGACTTTTGTATTTTATTTTTCAAAATAAAAGCTTAAATGTGAAGCATTCGCGTGCTTTTGCTTTCAGTACTGTCGTTGGGAGCACAAACCTTCTCAGATGGTGCTTCACCAGCTTCCTGTGGGCTGGGCTATAGGTTCCCTCCCTCGCTTCCCTCCCCTGTGTGTGCGCATGTGTGGATGTGTTTGGGGTGTGTGTGGATGTTTAAGGTCAAAGAACTTACCGTTTCCAAGAAGCCATTATTGTGGAACACAGAATAACAGAGGTAATAATAATCACATTTATTGATTATTATTATTATGTTTCAGGTGCCAGGCACGGAACGAGATGTTTTACGTATTAGTCCATCTTCACACCTGTCCCTGGTTTAGTCACGTACATCTACGTCGCCAACCACTGCACTTTGAGCCTGAAACTTCAAGGTCATCTCTGCTTCCGTCCTCTTCTCTTTCCCTCCACGCATGTACAAGGGGACAAGACCTTTGATCCTACCTTCATGTATTTATTGAAATTATCCGCTTGCCTCCAGCTCCTCTGTCCTGGCCCTAATCAAAGAATCCACCCTGTCATCCTGACACCATTACAGTAGAGGATCGGAACAGTATCTCCACACCCTCTCTTGCCCCATCCTCTCCACGTACGACTTCACTGCCCCCTTGGGAATAGAGCGCACACGCTGCTGGGATCCAGCCCTAGCCAGCTCTCTGCTCAATCCCACCATAGGCCTCTCTCCCTGGCATATCAGCTTTCCCTCTGCTCCTGGTCTGGTAGCTACCTTCTTATCCTGAGGTCCCTGCAAGTTCTGTGTCCTCAGGAAGATTCTCCTAGCTCTTGTACTAAAACTAGTCACCTGCGGTGGTTACTTTTGCGTTGCTGTAACCAAGATACTCGACAGAAACAGCTTCACGGGAGGAACGGGTTCTTTTGGCTTACGGTCCATCCTGGAGAGAAGGCATGGAGAGTGGATGCTGAGATGTTGAGTCCGGTTGGCCAGGAAGCACAGTGGCAGGAGCCAGGCATGGGCAGAGCCTTTAAAGGTGCACCCTGGAAGAAGGTGATGGCCAGACCACAGGACTACAGCAATCTCCCTCTCCCATTCCAGTTACTGAGACACTGTCAGAGAGTCCCGGCTAACAGGCTTCCATGTGACGAGATTTCTGACTAGGGGAAGTTAGCTAACACTAACAGGGGTCTTGGTGGCCACCCTACTTTCTACTTTCTGCCTCCTGCCTGTAATGGGAGAGTGTGGAGGATTATGTTGCTGTCCTCAGAAAGTTAGAAGGGACCCCTGCTTCTGCCATGTAGGCCCTGACTTCTGCCTCCGGCTAGCTCATCATGTTGTCTGTCTGTGGTGGCTGGGGCCTGAATTCTTTAGAGCTACGGCATGTTTTGTCTGTCTATACCTTCAATAATTCTTATCCTCAACAGTCCTTCTTACTGCTCCTCTTAAACCCATGTCCAAGCCGGGCTGTAGTGGCACAGGCCTTTAATCCCAGCACTGGGGAGACGGGGAAAGGCAGATCTCTGTGAGTTCAAGGCCAGCCTGGTCTATAAAGCTAGTTCAAAGACAGCCAGGACTGTTAAACCGATGCCCAAGCCCTTCCATAGCCCCCATGACATGTTAAACTTCCATGGGGCTCCTGCAGAATGGAACCGCTTACATCTGGCCAAAAGTCCATGATGTGGCCTCTGTACCTCACTGACACCCCCACTACACCCCTTCTTCATAGCGTCTTTTTTCTGGCCTAAGTACATTTCCTTTTCCATTTTCCTTTTTCGACCCACCCTCACCCAGGCAAGGTTTCTTAGTGTAGCCCTGGCTGTCCAGGAACTCGCTCTGTAGACCAGACTGGCCTTGAACTCATAAAGATCTGTCTACCTCTGTTTGCCTAGTGCTGGGATTAAGCATATGGGCCACAATTTCGTGGCTTGTTTTTCTTATTTTGAGATAGGGTCTCATTCTATAGGCCAGGCCAGTCTAACTATGTAGTCCCACCTAGCCCGAATTGTAGCAACCCTTCTGCCAGGATTATAGGTGTGAGCCCCTATGCCTGGCTGTAGTCTAAGCATATATTTCCTGAGCTCCACTAAGGAAGGCCTTTCTCTTCCTTATGACATCACAGATCCCTTCCAGCATCTTATTCATCTACTTACTAGTTTTTCAGACAGGATCTTGTTCTGCATAGCCCAGGCTGACCTGGATTTCACTGTATATCCTAGGTAGTCTTCAGCCTTGTGGCCGTCTTTCTGCCTTATCCTACCAAGTCTCCTCAGTCATTTAATAAACATGTCTATGTTTGTGGAAGGTCAGTGTTTCATAAAATCAAATGAAGCCCTACAGAGTGACTGAAAAGTGACTAGATGGAATTGAATAGAAGACACGGATATCAACCCATACATCTTCGAACACCTGATCTTTGGTAAAGAAGCAAAAAATATCAAATGGAAAAAAAGAAAGCATATTTAACAAGTGGTGCTGGCATAACTGGATATCAACATGTAGAAGAATGAAAATAGAGCCATGTCTATCACCATGCACAAAACTCAAGTCCAAATGGATCAAAGACCTCAACATAAAGCCAGCCACACTGAACCTTATAGAAGAGGAAGTGGGAAGTACACTTGAACACATTGGCACCAGAAACCACTTCCTAAATAGAACCCCAGGAGCACAGACACTAAGAGAAACAATTAATAAATGGGACCTCCTGAAAATGAAAAGCTTCTGTAAAGCAAAGGACACAGCAAAACAAAACAATAGCCTACAGAATGGGAAAAGATCTTCACTAACCTTACATCAGACAGAGGTCTGATCTCCAAAATATATAAAGAACTCAATAAATTGGTCACCAAAAGATCACATAATCCAATAAAAAAAATGGAGTACAGACCTAAACAGAGAACTCTCAACAGAGGAATCTAAAATGTCTGAAAGACACTTAAGGAAATGGTCAACATCCTTAGTCATCAGAGAAATGCAAATCAAAACAATTCTAAGATTCCATCTCACACCTGTAATAATGGCCAAGATCAAAAACACTGATGACAATTTATGCTGGAGAGGTTGTGGGGTAAAGGGAACACTTCTGCATTGCTGGTTGGAGTGCAAGCTGGTACAATACCTTTGGATGTCAATGTGGTGATTTCTCAGAAAATTAGGAAACAACCTTTCTCAAGACCCAGTAATACCACTTTTGGGTATATATCCAAAGGATGCTCAATCGTGCCACAAGGACATGTGCTCAACTATGTTCATAGCAGCTTTGTTTGTCATAGCCAGAACCTGGAAACAACCTAAATGCCCCTCAATCGAAGAATGGATAAGGAAAATGTGGTACATTTACACTATGGAGTACTACACAGCAGAAAAAAATAATGACAGCTTGAATTTTGCAGGAAAATGGATGGAGCTAGAAAACATTATTTTGAGTGAGGTAACCCAGACACAAAGGCAATTATCATGTGTATTCACTCATAGGTGGTTTTTAAACATAAAGCAAAGAAAGCCAGCCTACAAACCACAATTCCAGAGAACTTAGACAACAATGTGGACCCTAAGAGAGGCTTACATAGATCTAATCTACATGGGAAGTAGAAAGTAGAAAACAAGATCTCCAGAGTAAATTGAGAACATGGGGACCTTGGGGGAGGACTGAAGGAGGGAGGGGAGAGGGAGGGGAGCAGAGAAAAATGTAGAGCTCAATAAATAGCAGTAAAATAAAAATAGAAATGACCAGAGTAAAGCTGAAGAATACAGTGGATAGAGCCAAAACGTAGCAGTTGGGAAGCTGAGGCAGGAGGATTATGATTACTGAGACCAACTAGGGATACATACTGAGGTAAGGCAATGGAGGGAAATATGTATTCTATAAAGTGAAAACTAGTAAGTAGGCTTGGTAATACTGAAAATTCAACCACATGGGTGATAATACATGCCTGTAATTCCATCTCGGTAATAATGCCTATAATTCATCTCAATAATACATTCCTGTAATTTCATCTCTTGATTATACATGTCTGTAATTCCACCTTGGTAATACATGCCTGAAATTCTACCTCTTGGTAATAGTACATGCCTGCAATTCCATCTGGTGGGTGGTAATACATACCTGTAATTCCAGCTTCTGGGTGGAAATACATGCCTGTAATTCCATCTCTTAGTAATACATGTGTGTAATTCCAACTCATGGGTTATAATACATGCCTGTAATTCCATCGATTTCGTGATAATCAAGCCTGTAATTCCGTCTGGTGGGTGGTAATACATGCTTGTAATTCTATATGGTGTGTGATAATACATGCCTATAATTCCATCTGGTTGGTGGTAATACATGCCTGTAATTCCATCAATTTGTTGATAATACAGCCTGTAATTCCATCTGGTGGGTGGTAATACATGCCTGTAATTCCATGTTGTTGGTGGTACTACATGCCTGTAATACAATCAATTGGGTGATAATAAAGCCTGTAGTCCATTTCTTTGGGAATAATCCATGCCTGTAATTCCATATGATGTATGGTAAAACGTGTAATTCCATTAATTGGGTGGTAATACATGCCTGTAATTCCATGTGGTGGGTGTAATACTTGCCTGTAATTCCATATGATGTGTGGTAATATATGGCTATAATTCCATCGTGTGGGTAGTAATACATGCCTGTATTGCATATGGTGTGTTGTAATACAGCCTGTAATTCCATCTGGTGAATGGTAATACACGACTGTATTTCTATCAATTGGGTGGTAATACATACCTGTAATTCCAACTGGTAGGTGGTAATACATGCCTGTAATTCCATATGTTGTGTGTTAATATATGCCTTTAATTCCATCTTGTGGGTAGTAATACATGTCTGTATTCTATATTGTGTGTGATAATAGATGCCTGTAATTCCATAATTGTGTAGTAATACATGCCTGTAATTTTATGATTGGGTGGTAAAAACATGCCTGTATTCCATATGGTTTGTTGTAATACATGCCTGTAATTCCATGATTGGGTAGTAAAACATGCCTGTAATTCCATCCTTTGCATTGCAATACAT